TAATTTATGTTTCAGAAATAAGACTCTTCTATGCAGAGAAGAGATTCTAAGGGGTAAAAGTAAAAGAAGCAAGACCAGGAGCAGGGCATGATGGCGTACCTATAATCTCAGCACTTTGAGAGGCTGAGGCCGAAGGATCACTTGAGCCCTCGAGTTTCAGACCAGCCTGGGCCACATAGCAAGAACCCATCTCTAAAAAATAAATAAATAGCAAGACCAGTTAGGAGAACTTTGTAGTCATCTAGGCAAGAGGTGATGGTGGCCAGAACTAGCGTTGTAGCAGAGGGTGGGAAATGGTCAGATTCAGGATGTGTTTTGGAGGAATAACCTGTAAGACATGCTGATGGATTAAATGTATGTGTCATAGGGAAGAAGGCAATCAAAGGTAACTTCTTTTTTTTTTTTTTTTTTTTTTTTTTTGAGACGGAGTTTCGCTCTTGTTACCCAGGCTGGAGTGCAATGGCGCGATCTCGGCTCACCGCAACCTCTGCCTCCTGGGTTCAGGCAATTCTCCTGCCTCAGCCTCCTGAGTAGCTGGGATTACAGGCACACGCCACCATGCCCAGCTAATGTTTTGTAGTTTTTTTTTTTTTTTTTTTTTTTTGTTTTTGCTTAACTGATTTTAATAACATGACATAAAGCCCCTAGACTTGATATAATCGTTATGCAAAATACATAGGTGAATACTGTCTTCTTTTAAAAATATAAAATAAATAAGCAAGACGTGAAAATAGGCAAGTTTCCATTAAATAAATGAAAATTTAAAAAAAAGAAAGTTTTGCTTTCCATGTCATTTGAAGAAGGGAAATTATCATTTTAAACAATATTCAAGTTTATTAAACAAATAAAAAAAGTATTATAAAATGTTTAACTTTCATCAGCTTCAAGGTTTATGTTGCTCCCAAATTTTGCATACAACTGAACTTTCAAATCTGCTAACACCCGCTGAATTGATTCCACTCTGGATTCTAAGGCGTCAATTTCTTCTTGCAAATTTTTCTTTGCTTCTTCTAACATTTCTTGTGTTTCTTCTTGAGAATGGCTAATGAAAACATCACCAATTTGATAAGGTATCATTAAGCAGTCATCATCTGCAAGCATGATGTCATCACAAGCATCCTCTAGGTTTTGGAGTTGTTTCTTTTTTACTTCTATTTCTTCCTTCAGCTCTGTGATTCTACTTGTATTCCGTGCAAATTTGTTTATCTTTTGTTGATCTTCGAAAGTAACATTGACATCTTCTGCAGCCGCCTTCTTCATGGTGGCCGCCATCTTGGGACTGCTGTTTTGTAGTTTTAGTAGAGACGGGGTTTCACCATGTTGACCAGGATGGTCTCGATCTCTTGACCTCGTGATCCACCCGCCTCGGCTTCCCAAAGTGCTGGGATTACAGGCTTGAGCCACCGCGCCCGGCTTTTTTTTTCTTTTTTTGAGACGGAGTTTCACTCATGTTACCCAGGCTGGAGTGCAATGGCGCGATCTCGGCTCACCGCAACCTCC